CCGGGAAAGGCCGGGCGGAGAGGCTGGCGGCCGACCTCCGCAGGGAGCGCCCTGGAGCAGCAACTTCCAAATTCCCAGTTTCAGGCCGAATACTCCAGGAGGAAGGTTTCCTCTTAATAGCTGAACTCCAAATGAAGCCAGGTCCCAAAGATCCTGGCTTTATACCTGGGCAACATCCTAACCAGCGCCCAGCTAGTGTAATCACTGGGCTGGGTTTAAATTAGACGTCCCACCCTCCCATGCCCCTCCCTATTATTCTAATTTTAAACCAATCTTAAGAACAAAGCTAACTGATTAAAGGTCAATTTATGGGAACAGGCAATCCAGACAAATATTAAACAAAAGAAACCTAGGGTAGCAATATTAATATCCAGTGTATTGATAGGATCAAAGAAGCACATTTTATAGTTATTGAAAAGAAAATTCACTAGGAAAACATGACAGTGATGAACTTAACGCACCTAAACACACAACAGTGACACATAGAAAGCCAAGACTGAGAGTTATAAGGTAAAACTGAAAAATCTGCACTCATGATGGGAGGTTTTTTTCCCCCGTAACACCGTTTTCTCAGAAATCAATAGTGCAGAGAACAAAACTAGTAATGCTATAATAATTTGCACAACAAACAACAATTTTGATCATATAACCTGCAACAACCAAAAACATGTAGAAAACACAAGAATTTCCCAATACAAGACTACAAAATAAATGTCAATTAAAATTTCATAGGTCAATAAATTGAGTACATCTGGACCTCAGTGAAATAATATTGAAAGTTAAAAATAAAAAACCTGAATCCAATCATATTTATTTGAAAATTAATAACCACATTTCTAAAACTTTTTAATGTTGAAGTCAAGCAATTAGTAAAGCAAAACCAAAACAAAAGAATAAAACATTAAAATAAAAATAGAATTACAAATAAACAAAAGGGATGATATGTTTTTTAAAAAGAGGATAAATAAAATTGAAATCTAACACTTTTAAAGAAAAAAATAATTTAGCAATACTGATGAAGAAATACAGTTTCTAGATCTGGAAAGGAAATATACAGAAAGGGCCTAGAGCATCTTGGAGTGCTGGAAAATGATGTGATAAATAGAAAACAAACAAAAGCATTGATGGAGTAATTTTAATGTGGTACAAAAACCAATAAAACAGCTCCCAATGGCCACATATTGAACAATTTAAGGAACAAACTAAAATACTACTATATCATATTCCAAAATACAAAATATGAATCTGTGCTGTCGTAAATAAATGGTTAAATAAATTAACACATTGGAGAGAAGAGAGAAAACTCCTCTGCAGGAGAATTCTAAATAAATTAAAGTAATTAAAATGTTGCTGATTTTGAAAATGTTATGTAACCTTATATACATAGAATTGTGCTTTTTATATTTTAATGTATTTTGTGTTTTATTTCCCTCATCTATATTGTTCCATCTAGCTGTACTTGATCCTTTTGCCTTGCCGTAAGGCATTCAATGGTATAAATGTTTTGCTGTTCATGGGCACTTGGGTTGTTTCCACTTTGGGCCTCTTACAGTGTTGCTCAGAACACGCTTGGACATGTATACTGGAGCTCATGTGTCCTTTTACGTATGAATGGATCCCTTGTCATAGAATACAGGAAGCCCACTGTAACCTCTGGCTTCAGCATCAGTGAATTCAGCCAACTGTGGGTAGAAATTATTCATAAAAAAAAACAATAAAAATAAATAAAACATTATACAGTAAACAATTATTTACATAGCATTTTCATCATAATGTAAGTAATCTAGAGATGACTTAAAGTATATTGGAAGATATGTATAGGTTACATGTGCGTACCAAGCCATTTCTCAGAATCCTCAGGGGTTACTAAGGACCAGACCCCCTCTGCCTGCAGAATATCAAAAGACAACTGTATGTGAATTCAAACTTTATTATGCCTGATTGTTTTTCAACAGTTTGTATCAATTTACACACAGGATAGCTGTATATGAGGGTGCTCAGTGCTCTTCACTTTTGCAAACCTCTGGTGAATATCAGACTTTTTAGTTTTAGCGGGTTAGGTGAGGGCATTAAGATTTGTTTTACCTATGATTGCTTCCCGGCACAACAGCCTGGGGTGACACAGTGAGACTTTGTCACTTAAAACTTAAAAAAAAAAAAAGAAATTATTTCCCTAATTACAAATGAGAGTAATTTTTTCATGTTCGTTGGCCATTTGGATATTCTCACTCATGAGCTGCCTATTATGTATTTTGTCCATTTTTCTATTGGGTTGACGTTCTCTGCACTAGCTCTTTATATGTAATGGATATCAGCTCTTTGCTGGATATGAGTAATACAGCATTGGTTCACACTCCTTGGTGTGTCATTTGTCTTTTTTTTTCATATCTTTTGATGAACAGAAATCCCTCTTTATTTCTAATAGTAAAATATTATTTAAAATAACTAACCTACATGGTGACTATAACATGGCAAACACTGTTCAATTTACTCTTCGTACAATAAATCATTTAATTCTTATGACCTGTAAGAAAAATCTTACCTCCAATTTTCAGATGACAGAACTGAGTCATGGAGACAGTAAGTCACTTGTTCACGGTGGTCGAGCTAGCACTGTTAGAGTCTAGCACTGTTAGAGTCAAGTATTTAAATGACAACCCCCAAAATGATGCCTTAAAACAAAAAAAGACTTCTCCCTTATCAAACTGTAATATTTGAGCTGATATCAACAGTACCTCTAAGCACAGAATACTGAGTCCAGACACAGACACATGTACAGTTGACCCTGGAACATGAGGGAGTTCAGGGTGCTGAACCCCTGTGCAGTTGAAACTCCTCAAATACTTTTGACTCCTCCAAAAACTGAACTACTAAGAGCCTACTGTTGACTGGAAGTCTTACAGATATCATGAATGGCTGATTAACACAGATTTTATATGTGACATGTACTAAATACTGTATTCTTACAGTAAAGAAAATTAAAGAAAATGTTTTTAGGAAAATCATGAGGAGAAAATGTATTTACCGTACTGTACTGTATTTATGGATACCTTAACAAGATGAATAGCCTGTCTGAAATGGCTGATAACCTCACTGCAGACCTCAATGTACACTACACATCAAGCAATTCCACATCTTCTTATACTGTCATGACTTTTCTCTGCTTCTTAGGAACATTTCCAGCATCACTAGTGGCACTTTGTATGGGCCCCATAGTATTATTCAAGCTTTAGGATATTGTCCTAAACATGATACTCAAGAGATCACTTTTTACTGTGATAGACAATTTACTAGAGAAAACAAAATTGCTCAGGCAGAGATGATTAGCGTCCTGCAGCATTTTAAGAGGATACTCACAACACGAGCTCACCGCAATGGCAAAAGGAACAGGCTACAAAATTATTACAATGATACAATATTATTATAGTTAATTTTATGCAGTTATGATTTAATACTGTATCTTTACATTTGTTTACATTTATCTCAACTTCAAATGGCATTATATATGGTCTGTGTGTGTGTGTAAATTCAGATAAATTTTAACTTTTTGTAACAGAATTGTACATATTTTATGGTAGTAAATGTTAAAATACACTAATATCTGTAAATATTTTATGCATTCATGACATACCTCATTTTTTCTTATATTTTGCAATATTTCTAGAGTACAAGATGCATCCAGGAGTTTTTTCAAATTGTTCTAAATCTCCAAAAATTTACCAATACAGTTGTGAAAAAAAAATCCCTGTATAAGTGGACCCATGCACTTCATTTGTTCAAGGCTCAACTGTATATGTGGGAGTCTGTATATAATAAAGGTGGCTTACCAATCCCATGAAAAGTAATTGATAATTCAATAAGGGATATTTATATTGGGGGGAAAAATTAAAATAGAGGTCTACCTTACACTACTTAGAAGAGTAAATTAGTGATGAATTAAAGACTGTATAAAAGAGAACTTTAGGGCTATTTGAGAATATACTGAAGAATGTGTTTATGAATTCAAGGTGGGAAAAGTATCTTAAAGAAAGAAGAGCCAAAAGCAGAAACAACGATGATAATTTCTGACATATTTAACTCATTCCAATGTAATGAGGACATAAAACATTGAGACAAGATACAGGATAGAAGAACAGTTTTGTCATATGTAAAATAGACAATGAATAAGTATCCTGAAAACTTCTATAGATCAATACAAACAATGAGTTAACTCAAAAGAAGGGATCGAAGCCTTAGAAAAGGCAACTCATAAAAAAAGGAAATCCAGATGGCCAATAAATATGAGGGGATGTACAAGATCACTAGTAATTGAGAAAATGCAATGAGACATTTTTCTCAATTTAAATTAGAAAAAGTGAAATGATCTGACAATGTAAAAATGGGCCAAGATATGGGGAAACCAGAACTGTCCCACTGCTAATGGAGATAGAAATTGTAGACTGACTTAGCTATTCTTAGAATAATTGAAAACAAATATCAGTATAACCAAGGAACTCTAGTTCTATGCACACAGCTGTTCAAGAAAGTGTTATTTATACATAACAAAGATGTGGAAATCATCTACATGTCCATCAGTAGGGGAATGAATAAAATAAAAAATTATACAGATCTATTGACTCTATTGGAGTCATTAGGATCTATATATGTAACAATCTGTCTAGGCCTTTTAATATTGAGTTTTTAAATAGGTAGGAGGAGGAAGAGAAGTTGATAAAACCAAACCTGACATATCATCTTGGCTGTGTAGACTTCTGACTATAAACATGGAGAATATGCATCGAACTCATAATTGTTATTTCTCAGAAATGAAGAGAAGCCTTCAGAAATGAAGGAACAGAGGTCATGGGAGAGGACAAAGATGGCTCTACACTTGCTCTTAGATAATTTTCATTATCAGTGTTCCTTGATTTTCCAAAATACAGTACAGAATAGCAAAAGCCTATTATTGGACATGGGCAAACAGCTGGATATGGGCAATTTTTACAAAGAAGAGTGACCCAAATTGAGAGTGTCAAATGAAGTAATATAGAATTCTAATTGCAATTGCTTGAAGAAGCCCTCCACAGCCACCCCTAACTCCCTGAACTTTCCAGAAGACTAATTTAGAAACAAGTTTAGCTGTACTATTGCTTGTCCTTATTTGGCAAGAGAATGCAAAATATTTATGAAAGTAGCTGAATAGAAACAGTAGGACAATAGGAGCAATATTTTCTACAAATTATTTGTGTGCTTATGTTTCTTTTCTGTTACTCTCCAATATTTTTTCTAATGATAGCTATTCCAGGGCATCTATCTGCCTAGGATAAGATTGTGATGCTGCTGAAGATAATAAGCAGAAATTCAGTTCTCACATTCCAAGGTGGAATGTGAGCCAAGCTACTGTGTCCACAAATTGTCAGAATTCCTTTCTTTCCTGCACTTTCATATCCACAATCCAACCTCATCACCTAATTTTAGCAACCTCCAATTCTCACCTGGAATATAGGAGCAAGAAAGTCTCATTTTCCACTGAAAGATGAGTGGATGTAATTGGCAGAAGTAGTCATCCAGATGCTAACTTAATGGAGCTGACCCAAGGAACTAAAGTAACTTCTCCAACAGATTTTTATCAAAATCTATGTGTTTAGCCTTACTTTTACTCCCAACTCTGGAGGTACCTGGTGTCACAAAATCTTGATTCCTTTTGGTTCTGCACTGGGGATTCCATTACCCTCCAGGTTTTCTCCCTACCAACCTAGCATTCAGCTTTCCACTGTTTCTTAAGATGGTTCCCACTTTTCCAGCTGCTCCTATCTTGTCTCCTGTTCAGTTTTCTCCAGTTTAAAATACGTGCAATAAAAATGCATACACCATAGGGCTCCATGTCAGTGAGTTTTAACAATCACATACACCCATGTAATCATCACCCAAAAGGAGATGTAGAACATTCCCACGGCCCCATCACATTCTCTCACGCCAGGACCCTGCTTCCCACCAGAGGCAATCATGTTCTAAACTCGATGACCACAGCTTACTTTGGTCTATGTTTGCAATGAATATGAATAAAAATATACAATAGGTTTTCCTATTTTATAGTTTCCAAATCTGATGTTTGTAAGATCCAGCTATTCCTGTTGCATGTACCAGCAATACATTCCATTTTGTTGCTGAATAATATTAAATAAGCTACAAGTTTTAATAAGCTATGAATTTTTCTACTTATATATTCAGAGATGTGTGCATTATCCACAGTTCGTGATTCTTATAAAATGTGTAGGTATTTAGGAGGAGAACTGCTATAGATGGATGGGTGCTTAAGTTTATAGAACATTGACAAACGGTTTTTCAAAGGGGCTGTATGATGGTACATTCCCAGTAGCAATGCATGTGAGAGTCAGTTGCTCTGGAAATGGGATTGTTTCTTTTAGAGCCAGAGTGCATGGTTCTAGTAAATCCAGGTGTAAAACTGGGACTGATCCATCATGCCAAAAGTAAGATGTTTGCTTCTTGTCCTTGTGACTTCTGGTATTCAAAGTGGCATGTTTTCAATGGCTGTCACAACAATAGTTCCATACATTGGAAGTTGAGATTCTGTCTCATGGCCATTTCTAGCTCCTCACATCCCTAAATAACCATGCAAAGAAGGATTATAATTTCTCAGCAGGGGGACCAATCTTTATTCTCTCAAGGAAATTATGCCTTTGAAACACAAAGAAACCTAAAGTACAATTGCAGTTCAGGTCCACTACGGAGCAGACTCCAAGACTTCAGCACCAAGATCTTTAGAGTGCCTTTGGGATCTGTATCTGAGTAAGGGAAGGATAGGAAGAAGGTTTGAGCACAGAGAAAAGTTGATCTGTGGTTTATGCCCAAAGACAGTCAGCTGATCCTGCAGGGACTCTGGAGCTCAAATGGCCCTCAGGATTGTCCTGAGTTCAGCAGAGATGGCCAAGCTTTATGCTCCAGCACTGAGCAGTCATCGGATATGGGCTACACTCAGAGGAGACATGGCCTTGGGTAAGGCAGCTGTCTGCAGCTGAAGACTGTCTGCCTCCTGCATTCCAGGGCCAATGAGACTTTTTCCTATCACATAAAAATTGATTTGGTCATGCAAGATGTACTGTAGGTCCAGCAGTTCTCTAGGGCTTCTCCCTTCCAATGAATCCAGTATGCTTTCATCTTGTGGTTCCACCATCTCAGTATTAGCTTTAGCCCCTTTTCAGCCAGGCAACTCAGTCCGTCTTCCTGTGTGCCTGCAGACTCTGTGTTCAGCCTCTCAGCTTGAATCTTATAAAGAATAAACTTCCATCTCTTATTGCATTAGGAATGACAAAGTTGTGTGAATGAGTGAGATGGGCAAGAAAATTTGGGTTTTTCTGTTCTTTATTGAAAAGTTCAGGCAAGCACCAATTGTTTATTACTTTGGCTCTCAAATTGCCTGAAGCCTCAACTTTGGTGCCTTAATAACATTCTGTAAGGGCAGTTAAGCAATGTAGAAGGAATGTTTCCTTCTACATCCAAAACTATCACTTTCAATTTCCAAAATAAGTTTTGAATTTGTCCACTTCCGTGCATTTTCAATATGAACAATTGAGTCTAAGCAACTGTCACTCTCACTTGTATTGTAGATGGTCTAACTCTTTCTCCTTCTGGTACATTCTCCACAGAGCAACTAAGCTGATTGTTTAAACGTATAAATCACATCTTCACTGCTGTTTTACACCTCCAGTGCCTTCTCAATTCAAGTTGATAGAATACCCAATAATGCAATTAACATGAGTCACAGGGCCTAAGTGGTCTGATCTCTGCCTCTTCTTCTGTGTGCCCCAGATATAAATAAGCCTCTATTGTATCACTGGTAAAACAACTCATCAAGTTCTATATTAGGCCTATTGCACTTACAGTTCCCTGCAGGTGGAAAATCCCACTCTGGACCTTCTTATTTTTCTCTGTTGGGGCCCCAAAAGGTCTCCTGTTCTCTGAAGCCTTCCTGGACCAGCAGCTCAGCCAGCCTCTGCCCATTCTGCCCTGTTGTCCAATCCTGCTTTAGTTCCTACACAAACACACGTTCCTGACTGAAACTGTCTTGTTCACTTACTTGGGGGTTTATTTATTGGGCTGAGTCAATGAATTACCAGTGTGAAGTATGCACACAGCTTTATGTTCTCTCCCAGGCAGTGGAGCCTGGGAGAGAAGAGAGTCGGATGATGGCCCTTTTATCCTAGGGCTGTTCATCTTTCCCAGCAACTTGGGTCCTGCTATTTGGCTGAGTGCCAGGCTGGTCCTACCAAGCTATCCTCAAAGTATAACTGCAATCCAGTGCTCCCACACAGCCAGACAGCCAGAACCTCATAACCATACGCTGAGCTCACTCACCACCACAAAATGTAACCAGTCCATAAAATATTAATAAGTGTTGCCTGGAATGTTCTCAAATAACTGCAAAGAAAAATGCATGGAGAATAACCTCTTCCTGCAATGTTTTTGAAATTACAATATTAGAAAGAAAGTCCGATTTTACTTGTTGGTGACCTTTAATATATTTGTGAACAAATACTGGCAATGTCACATTTTAAATATCTCAATGACTTAGAAATATGATGCTTTTTTTTCTGACTCTATTGACCTAATTGGCTATAAAAGGCTAGTTTTGCAAGAAGGGGAGAGTTGAGGGAGGGAGGGAGGGAGAGATAAGGGAAGAAGACCATTGAAGGGTAACCACACTCCAAATTCTTCAGAAGTTCAGCAGCCTCTATAGTTGGTCCAGAGTTTGGGACACTGGGATAGATGAGCTCTTGGCAAACCCAGGAAGACCTCGTTCTGAGAGATACTCATGTCCAGTGGATGAAATCTCAACTGGTGACGCAGAAGTAGAAGTGTCAAGATATTATAACATCTGAGAGGATGAAGAAAATATGGTGAATTTGGTAATCACCTTGGACTCAGCAGTGCCCAGGGGCCTCACCACAGGAACTAAGCACTGGGAGGCACTGCAGTTTTAGTGGCCTGAAAATTTGCCAAAAATTCTGAGTTGTAAATATGACCAATCTCAAGAAGCCCCCACAGAGCAGAGCAGTGGGGTATAAAAGCTGACCATGGGCACAGGGGCGGGGCCCCAGCAGCACCCAGAATCCTTGGCAGGATGCTGGATCCTGGGCTCAGTGGTACAGGCCTATCCATCAAAGCTGCATCTGTGGGCAGGGGCTTAGGTTCAGTGTCTGGAGGTGTGCAGTCTGTGACCACCAAAAGGTACCTTCTGGCCAGAAGGAGCCTGGAGGATTGACTTCTGAACCACCAGTTACAAAGGATAAGGACCACAACCACATCTACCAGTTGAAAGGTTCAGACCAAGGTTGACAAAGCCAGGGTGGGCAGTAGGTCCAAGCTAAGGTCCTGGGGTAGGAAGCATCACTGCAGGCTAAATTGGCCACAGGAACACCGGGCACAGAAATGTGAGGCAACAGGCACCACAGGTGGAGGTCTTAGGCCGAGTGGGTCATGGCCCTGGTGACACGAGTGGTGCCTCAGTCCAGAGAGCCCTCTCAGGCACTTGGATCTTCCACGAGGTGGGCATCTTCAGGCTGGCCTGTGCCCTGGATTCCATGGGGTCTGCAACTAATCCCTCTTGTCTAGATTTCCACAGCTCATAGCACTTGGGTTACAGGATGCCCATGACAGTGTACAGGGAAAAGGTCACAATGACTTCCTCACCACTGCACTGAGAGGCCACTTTGCTTATCACATGGTGGCAAAATTCATGGCCTCCCTGAAATTGAAGCCATAGGTAAAGTCAGCATGGTGGCCATAGGGAAGCCATTCAGATATTTAGCCCCCTCCTTGAGTTTTCCCTGCCTTCAGCCTTTACAACTACAGCTACAACAAAATAAGTTTTGTCTCTTTCCTTCCATCAATCATAGCTCTAAAAATTTTTGCAGTGGTTAACAGCACTAATTCCATAAATTATTGACTGAAATGCTTCAAATACCTCACATTAAGGAAAATGCTGGCTTGGGTCTAAAATAGCTAACTAGTAGATAGAGAATTTTTGAATTTTATTTTAAGGAAGGATTCATTGCTTCCTTGTGGGTGTGTGTAAAACAAGACTGTTGAATTATATCAAATGCCTATCAACATCTATAAACATGATCATATAACTTTTCTTCTGGTTGCATTTACGGGATAAGTTATATTCCTAGATTTCCTTGTTTAAACCATCACTGCCTTCCTGTAATAAACCCCATGTAGTCTTTGTATGTCATTCTTTTAATGTACTTAGATTCTCTTAGCTAATATTTAAGTTAAAATTTTTACATTGGTGCTCATCAATAAGTTTTGTCCATCATTTTCTCTCATTCTGCAATTCATTAGGATTTTCTGTCAATGATGTGCTTATTTTTAAACTTGAATTTTTTCTCGTTTTAAAGGCCTATGCATACTTGAAATAAAAATTTCACACAATTCCTCTGTGAAATTATCTAATCCTTGTCATTTTTGAAGAGTCAGGTCTTCCGCCATCTTTCTGTATTTCATACACAGGAATTTATTTCTTAAACTTTATATGTAGTAAGTTAATTTTTCTAAAAAAATCCACATCATTGGAGCTTTATGTTGATTTATTATTTTACAGTTATTCCGACTCATTTTCTGTGTATATCTGTATCAATTCCTTGTTGCTACTTTCATATAATTGATCTTTTCCTAACTTGTAAATCAGAAGCTTAATCCAGTTAATTTTATTATTTGAATGTGATGAAGAAAATAAAGGCTGCAGATTTTCCTCAGCACTATTCTAAATGAATCTCATATATTCCTTTTTGTATGTTATTAAGTTTTAAATTTAAAAACACTCCAGTAAATGCTTATTGTATTCCAGGCATTGGTATTAGCAAGTTACATATATTCACTCATAGAACTGTCAACTAAACACATGAGGTAAGTGCTATCTCCATTTTACATTGAGGAAACTGAGTCATAAAGTTAAATTATTTTCAAGGTCACACAAGCTGGTAAGAGAACCTGGAATTCAAAATCAGGCTGTCTTGCTCTACAGTTCATATTCTTAATAGATATTTATTGTTTTGTGGAAATTTGGCTTTTATGGTTTGTGCTTCCCTCAAATATGAAATCCATTCAATAAAAAAATTTAACCTGCCAGGAAAAGGACCTGTACATTTTCTGACTTTCAAAAATATTTCAAGTGTTATTGCATGATAATTCAGAATGTTTGAATTTTTTTCATTTTGTTTAAAGAAGATATTGATATTTTCTATTCACACTGATATGCTGTCAAATTTTGTGATTGATTCCTTGGCAGGATAGGTTGTCAAGGACATGAAATATACTTGGGATGCAGTGACTGTGGTGACCATACAGCCAATACAATAAGCCTTAGCATTCATATTGTAACTGAGCTCACTCAAGCAAAGCTATCTTTAGTAGGGACTTTCCCTTCTAGAGAGCATGCACATTTTGATTTTACCTGTCCTCAAACTGATCTTTTGTTCATTACAAGTAAAAAACACACCCATGGGGAGATTTAAGATACTAACGAGACATGGGATGTATGAATAAGCATGTACAGCTACTGTACATGTACAGAAGACCATCAGAACATGTGTACTAGTAACACCTGTTACCACCTCCTTATGAATAACCATGTAAAACTCCCATAATGGGGGTTTCTCCAGCAATGATCAATGCTGTCTCACCCTAACAAGCAGCCCATCCTGAATTCCTCCCCTCTTAGTGTGTACAGTCTATTTTGCACCTAACTTTCAAAATATTATTTTTCTTTCACAATAAATTACTCTATGCTATACTTATTTTGCTGTATGTCTCTTGTTTAAATTATTTTAAACTAAGAAGACAAGAACCAGAGGTTTCACAACAGCTGTCAACAGCACCTGAAGAGAGGAAGTATTTTCTATCATCTGGTTTGTCAATTCTACCTTATTGTTAATGTTGTCTAAGTTTTTCATATCCTTAGCTTTCTCTGTTTGTTCTGGCTTGGATTAATAAGGTGACTATATTAGTTCATTCTCACTTTGCTATAAAGAATATACCCAGGTAATTTATAAGGAAAAGAGGTTTAATTGGCTCACAGGTCTGCGGGCTGTACAGGAAGCATAGAGGTGTCTGGTTTGGGGGAGGCCTCAGGAAACCTACAATCATGATGTAAGGCAAAGAGGAAGTAGGCACATCTTTCATGGTGAGAGCAGGAGGAAGAGAGAGAGGGGGGAATCACTACACACTTTTAAACAACCAGATCTTGTGAGAACTCTATCACAAGAACAGCACTAGGGGGATGGTGCTAAACCATTCATGAGAAACCACCACCATGAGCCAATCACCTCCCACCACACCGCACCTCCAAAACTGAGGATTTCAATTCTACATGAGATTTGAGTGGGGACATAGATCCAAACCATATCAATCCTTCCCTGGCCCCCTCCTAAATCTCATGCCCTTCTCACATTGCACTGTATAATCATGCCTTCTCAAATGTTCCCCAAAGTCTTAACTCATTTCACCATTAACTGAAATGTCCAAAGTCCAAAGTCTCATCTGAGACAAGGCAAATCCCTTCTGACTATAAGCATGTAAAATAAAAAACAAGTTAGTTACTTCGAAGATAGAGTGGGGGTACAGGCATTGGGTAAAGACTCCTGTTCCAAAAGGGAGAAATTGGCCAAAAGAAAGAAGCTAGAGACCCCAAGCAAGTCTGAAACCTAGCAGGGCAAACATAAAATCTTATACTTCCAAAATAGACTCCTTTGACTCCATGTCTCATATCCAGAGCACAATAGTGCATGATGTGTACTCCCAAGGACTTGTGTAGCTGTGCTCCTGTGTCTTTGCAGGGTTCAGCCCCTGCAGCTGCTCTCATGGGCTTGTGTTAAGTGCCTGCAGCTTTTCCAGAAGTAGGGTGGAAACTGCTGGTTGGTCTACCATTCAGGGATCTGGAGGAAAGTGATCCTTTTCTCACAACTCTGCTAGGCAGTACGCAGTGGGGACTCTGCATG